CCTTCCGAGGAGTGGCTGGTGGGTTTGAACCGCCAGTCTTTTGGTTAGCAGTCAAGTGCCTTAGGCACTATGCTACCAGAGCTCTAGGTGGGTGGAGTAATCAGTGGGAATGTGGATACAGGTCTCTTCCTGAAGAGGATCTGTGGGTGGGATAAGTGGGTGCTGTCTACCGTCTGTCAAACCAATGGTGCAGGAATGGGTGGAGGCACTCACCTGTTGGGTGAGGTGGTAGGTGATAGGTGTAGTAGATATGGCTGGCTAGTGCAGAATTAATATTCTCTTTCCACTGGGGGGAATGGAAGAAAGAAAAAGAAGAAAAAAATATTTAAAAATAGGTGTGGGTGAAAAGAAAGATTGGTAAAAATGAAAGAAGAGGGAGAAATAAATAACAAGGAAGAAAAATGAGAAAAGAAAGGAAAAAAGAGAAAACTAAGAAGAAACGAAAGAGGAAGGAAAAGTACAGGAGGGAAGATTTTTGTAGTTATGGTCAGACAGCAGTGGTGGCAGTACACAGCTGTGGTGTGATCCACTGGAGCACGGGCCTGTGAAAATGGGAGGAATCTGACATGAGTGAGCACTCCAAGAGAGGAGGCTACAGGAGCTTGCCTCTTGTGTTCAGTGAGAGGAAGACCTGTCAGTCAAGACACAAGCACAGGTAGACTGAGCTGTATACCCTGGCTTTGTCTATTTGGGGTGTGTTGTGCCCTGTGGCTGGGCTGCTGAAAATGTATCTAAGGAACCAGGTGGGTGAGGGTAGCCAGAGAGGCCTCCCAAGCTGCCAAGTTGGTGGAGGCAGGAAAAGGGTTCACCTCTAGTCAATGGGAAGATGTGTTTGTTAGAGTGGAGAAAACACTTCTCCAGTTGTGATTTACTGGTGTGTGTCCAATACCCTTCGGGGAACACACTGCCAATTATCCAGCTCCTACCCAGATGCAATCAAGTGGGTGGCCTCCCAGAGCCCAGTGTCCTCTCCCTTACTGGCTGCCCAGAGTCCCAATGCCCTCCTACACACACACAGGCCCCCCATCTTATGTGGGCCCTCAACCCAAACAACTAGTGTTCACTAGTGGTGAGTTGTTTCATTCCCCTTCTCTGGCTCCCTCTTTGCTCTATGGTCACCTGTGCCACTGAAAATCTGGCCTGTATCCCTGTACTTTCCTTTCCCAGATCCATTGTGTATTATGCTCACTTTTATTCCTTCCAGATCTGTTACATTGTGTCTCTATCGCAGTGTGGATTCTATGAAGTTGGTTGCTCCTCACCCATGTCTGATGCCTTCTGTACTTCAAAATGGCCACACTTCATAAGTCTGGGCTTTTTTTCTCTCCCCAGTCACTGCGCTCATTCCATCTCCCTTTCTAATCAATCCTCAATCTAATTCTTTATCCTCTCATTTGATGCTCATAATTTCAGGATCATTATTTGTACCTGTTTTACTCAATTTTTCTAGGTCTCTGTTGTAGAGGGATTGGGCAGAGTGTGTTAGCAGGACACCATCTTGCCTCTGCCTCCTCACAGTGATTTTAATAGCCCTATATGGCCTGTGAAGAAACCAGATGGGTCCTGGTATATGATGGTGGATTAAAAGGAACTTAATAAAGGGATTTCCTCCAATGCACACTGGAATCCTGTTAGAAAGCCTTAGTAGAGACATGGGCACATATCATGCTATGTTATACTTGGCTAATGTGTTCTTTAGAATCTCTCTAGTCCTCAATCCTTTGTAAAGACAGTTGGGTGGTAGCGTGTGGGTTAATTATGGTATAAGGAGCAGAAGAAGATAATGGGCAAGGCCTTGTACGGAGAGCCCTGTAGCAGGACATCTGGGAATGGAAAAGGGAAAAGGAAGTCTCCAGGAATTGATGGACTACCCCTTGAGACATTTCAACAAATGGATGTAATGCTAGAAGTGTTCCCTCATTGTGTCAAGACATTTGCAATACAGCTACCTGGCCAACCAACTGGAAGAGAACCATATTTCTGTCCATTACAAAAAAAAAGGTGATCCAAAGGAATGCAGAAATCATCAAACAATATATTAGCATCACATGCAAGCAAAATTTTGCTAAAGATTATTCAAAAATAGTTGCAGCAATATATTGACAGGGAACTGCCAGTAAGTCAAGCAAGATTCAAAAGAGGATGTGTAACAAGGGATATCACTGCTGATGTCAGATGGATCTTGGTTGAAGTCAGAGAGTACCAGAAAGATGTTTGTTTATGTTTTATTGACTACACAAAAGCATTCAACTATATGGACCATAACAAATATTACAAGTCTGATGCACACCTTTCGTGTTTTCAAACCATGTAATATCCCCTTGCTCTGTTTGAATGGCTGCCCCTTGGTCTATATGTTGGTGCCACATGAGTACTATAAAGTGTTCTGGAATAAAACATGAAAGGTGTGCATCAGAGTTGTATCATTTTACCATACTCATTCAATGTGTATTCTGAGCAAGTAATCTGAGAAACTAGACTATATGAAGGACAAGGCATCAGGATTAGAGGATGGTTAACAACCTGTGATATGCAGATGACATAACCTTGCTTACTGAAAGTGAAGAGGACTTGAAACACTTATTGATGAAGATCAAATATTACAGCTTTTGTACAGATTACACTTCAACATAAAGAAAATACAAATTCCCACAACTGGACTAACAAGCAACATCATGATAAATGGAGAAAAGATTGAAGTTTTCAAGGATTTCATTTTACTTGTATCCATAATCAATGCCCAAGAAAGCAGCAGTCAAGAAATCTAACAATGTATCATACTGAGCAAATCTGTTGCAAAAGACCTCTTTAAAGCAAAGATGTCACTTTGTGAAGATGACGCAAGACTGGCCAGGCTTTTGTTCTGTTGTACATACCAAAAAAAAACAAACTCACTGCCATTGAGTCGATTCTGACTCATAGTGACCCCCTTTGGGTTTCTGACCTGGTAAATCTTTATAGAAGTAGATTGCCTAGTCTTCCTTCCACAGAGTGGCTGGTGGGTTTGAACTGCCAACCTTCTGGTTAGCAGTCAAATGCCTTAGGCACTACGCCACCAGGGCTCCTTTTGTTTTACATAGGGGTTGCTATGAGTTGGAACCCACTCCAAGGCATGTAACAACAATGTGAACCTACACTCTATATAGTTTAATGTTTGGTCTTGGAAACATGATTGCTCAATGCATATTCCCCCTATCCTCTAGCTGCCTATCAGTGATCTTCCTTATCTCCCTTCTGTAAACTTGTGTTGGTCTAGATTTTGACATTAAATACTTTTGGAACTTTGGAACAGTTTCTTCATTTGTAAAACAGCTGCTAAATTTTACCTAAGTACCTCACATCTTTGTTTTGAGTAGTAAAATAATGGATGTCAGAGACCTGGTAAACTATAAAGTTCTGGTCAAATTTTTTCATTTCCTCCTCCAAAATGCCAACATTTCCAGGAGTCTTTGTTTTTGATTATAAAAGCAATACCTTCATTATACACAATTTAGAAAACTCTTACAGGAGTTCTAGTGGCATAGTGCCTAAGGCATTTGACTGCTAACCAGAAGGCTGGTGGTTCAAACCTACCCGCCACTCCTTGGAAGGAAGGTTGGGCAATCTATATTCCATAGTGATACCGCCTAGGAAACCCCAGAAGAGGTCGCTGTGAGTTGGATTCGCTCCACCGCAATGAGTTCAGTTTTTTGGTTTTCAAGGACATATATCTAGTAATTAAGTTATTTTATATATTTCCGTAACTCAGAGGTAAAAAATTAATAATCTGTTAATATTCCATTGTTCACTACAGACTTAATAAAGAATAAAAACAAATGAAAAATCTATTATGGAAAATTTCAGTAGTATACAGGAGTATAATGACATATCATGAACCCTTACATACCCATTCCCCAGTTTCAACCATTATTAATTTTGTTTCATATATACCCCATTCCCAACTATTTCCAAGCATATATCCAGATATTATGTAATTTAATCTATGTCAAAAATGTATCTTCAAAAACTAAGGATTAAAAACAACAGTCATAATACTACTACTATTTATAACAAATAAACCATAATATCGGAATATCATAAAATATCCAGTGTTCAAAATTTCCCGAAAGCGTCATATTTTTATACAGCTACAATTACACGTCTAACCTAATTTAACCTGAGTTAAACCGAGTTGCGCTTCCTCGTCTTTAGCTGCCCCCAGGACTACAGCTGAAATTGACAAGAGTTTCCTCCAACCGAATCAGAGAGCTGGGAAACATTGCAAGGCAAAACGCTGGCGACTTTGGTCTGCGGAACCTAATTCGTTCCTCTACTGCGGTCTCCAGAGGGATCTCTTTCTGAATTGCACGGAGCGCAAAATCTACACTAAGCGATTGGCATCTGCCACCGGAAGCGCTCTTGATTCTCCGACTCCGGCAAAGAATACAGCCGCGAGACCCGCTGAAGGGTCTGGTGTGCGGTGTCTATTAGCTCTGCAGTCGAAAGGAATTAGGACCGTGACAGCGATGGAGCGGGGTGCGGAAGGCCGCACCTCAAGTGCGCTGTTCGCTGGGTTCCGGGCCTTGGGGCTTTTCAGCAACGACATCCCACACGTGGTGCGGTTCAGTGCCCTGAAGCGCCGGTTCTTTGTGACTACCTGTGTGGGCAAGAGCTTCCACACCTACGACGTGAGTGCCCCCCTCTGTTGCCCGCCCTCGGTCTCCAACTCTGTTCTGTACGCTTTTCGGCTCTCTCCCGCTTTATCTCGGTTTCCGTCTCGGCCTTTCTCTTCCTTAATTCTTACTGTTTTATTTAGCCTTCCCCATCCCATCCACGTGCTGATAATTGCAGTCCACCTAGGGCGAGCTTCAGAGGCAGCGTGGCTGAGAGAAAAGAAACGTTTCAGTTCCACCGCAGTATATTCGTTCAATAAATATTTATTGACAATTTATTAAGACAAGTTCCCTTTCCCCCACAGTCTTAATCAGAGAGAACGACTTGCAAGCAGTTTTATTGTGCACTTCATAATACAAACTGGGTTAGAACTTTAGACCAGGTTGAGAGAACTGGGGAGAACGAGATTTATTATGATTTAGGGAACTCACCACATTAGATCGTAAACCACTTGATGTCTGTAAGCTTCCCTTGAGAATCTGTTTTCTACCAACATTGAATGTCTGGCACGGTGCCACTTTAAGTCTTGCAGCAATTCCTATTCCATAATAGGACTTACTGCCGTCGAGTCCATTCGACTCATAGCGACCCCTCCTTGGGTTTTCCTTGAAGGATTGTGGAAATCAAATGGGTTATAGCAAATAGAGCTGAGAGTTGAGAGAAGGTTGACTCCGGGGATGAAGAAAAGGAAAAGACGGCGGGGTGGAGAGCAGTTGGGTTTCCCAAAGTCTTGGTTGCTAATGGAGAGGGTAAGTAGGAATTAATTTATTGTCTCCATTTTTCCCTTTTATTCCTTGCTTGCCAATTTACTTTTGGTTTTGCTGATCAGTTTTTTTCCTGAAATGTAGTGTTTATAATCTCCTTACTTAAAGGGCTCTGGAAATCTTATTTTTGGCAGTGTCTTTCCTGATAAGTTAAACACACATATTTAAATTTAATGATTTACTTATCAGTGCATTGAAGTGTAGTTATTAAAATAAACGTGATTTTAAGGTTCCCTTTCTGGTTTTAGCATTAGTGATGCAAATTTTTAAAATCTGATCATAATATCATAACATGTAAGTGCTTATTTCCCAAGGGCTTTGTACACTGCTAGGACCACTCAATGCACTGGGCTTTGATGGCACAGAACCAGGCAGTGTTTCTATCTGTTGTATGTAGGGTCATTATACACTAAAGCTGACTCTATGGCACTTAAAAGCAACAAAACATCATGACCTTTGAAACTGAAACTCACCTGGAAGTAGAAAAATGGCACTAATTAGCTCAGGTCACTAGTTTGGTCCACAAGTGCTCCTTCCTGTGGCCATGACTACTATACCATCCTCAACCAACCTTCCTATAGATAAATGTTTTCTATAGGTGAAACTAGACAAGTTGTAGGTGATGGCGGTGCTAATGATAGCAGCTAACATTTATTAAGCGCTTGCTATTTGACCTGTGCAGCTCTTAGTGGTTACATGAATATTCTCATTGATTGCTTACAACAATCCCATAAATGAAGTAACTGTTTTAGTTCTCATTTTACAGATGAGGAATTTGAGGCACAGCGACATTAAATACCTCTCCCTAGGTAATACAGCTGGATCAGTAACCACAAATCAGGGTTAGCAAACAAAGCCTACGAGCCAGTTTTTACCCACTGCTTGTTTTTGTGTGAGCCACAAGTTATGAATGGCTTTTACATCGTGAAATGGTTAGGAAAAAAAAAAGATAATATTTTATGATGTGAAAATTATATGAAAATCAATTTCAGTATTTGAATAAAGTTATTGGAACACAGTTAGCCAGTCACTTTTTTTTTTTTTTTAATTGTGATTTGGGTGAAAGTTTACAGAGCAAATCCACTTTCCATACAGCATTTCACACACATGTTGTCTCATGACATTGACTACAGTAACTCCAATTAATTAATTAATAAATGTCAGAAAAAGACATGGAACAAGGGATATCATAGCTGCTGTCAGATGGATCTTGGCTCAAAGCAAAAAATACCAGAAAGATGTTTACTTGTGCTTTATTGACTATGCAAAGACATTTGATTGTGTGGATCATGACAAATTATGGCTAACATTGAAGAGAATGGGAAGTCCCAAACATTTGATTGTACTCATGAGGAACCTGTACTTTGACCAGGAGGCTGTCGTTGGAATGGAACAAGGGGACACAGCATGGTTTAAAATCAGGAAGGGAGTGTGTCAGGGTTGTATCCTTTCCACATACTTAATCTATATGCTGAGCAAATAATCCGAGAAGCTAGGCTATATGAAGAAAAACGTGGCATCAGGATTGGAGGAAGAATCATTAACAACCTGAGATACGCAGACAATACAACTTTGCTTGCTGAAAGTGAGGATGACTTGA